TTTTTTTTTTTTTTCCTGAGACAGGGTCTCACTAAGGCAGTAGTGATGAACCTATGGCACATGTGCCAGAGCAGGCTGTTTGTATCACTGAATACACCAAAAGGTATGCACTAAGTTACCGAGGATGAGCTCGAACTTGTAATCCTCCTGCCTTGACCTCTCAGAGTGCTGGGATGCCACCACATCTACCTTAAACATGCTTTTAAAGTGGTTTTGCAGCTAGAGTTTTTTCCATTTGCAGTGATTTCCTATCCCTCTTCCCCATCTTGTTATGAACAGAAGTTCAAACCCAGTGCTTGGTTTCCCATGAATTTCTCTTCTGATCCCCAGTGTTTGAGAAAACTCCTTTCAGATTTCTAGAGCCCCTGAGGTCTGTGAGGCTCATGTGACACCAGCATGCAAGCTGCAATATGCTCAGGTCTTTATCTGACTGATACTTACCGCTGTCTTAGTAGCACTATATCTTATAGCAGGTACCTGCTGGGCCTCAACTGTAGGGCATGAGAAGTACGAATGGCACAAAGAACAGTAAAAATCCAGGCAGGCAATGTACTTCCTTCTGATGGGGACCTGCAGATTTACTAAGAGATCCTTGTGGTGGGTCTTAAAGTCAAGTAGAAATTGACTAGCTGAAGTTAAGGAGGGGAGACAGGGAGAGCATTATTTTTGACTTTCCCTCAAGATGTAGCCCTCAACCTAACATTTTTGGTTCCTTTAAGAGCTGGTAATAATACCACAAAGATGAACTTTATCAATTTCCTGCCTCCTCCTGATGAACGTCATTATGATTACATCATATATCTTTATTTTAAATACGTATCTAAAGATTCCCTCTTCCTCTTCTAGGCCTCTGCCCATTAGCTCATAACCATTCGTAAATTTCTCTCATTTCAAAACAAAACAGAACAAAACAAAATAATAAAGATGATCCCTTAGCAGCATCTTGCTGGCAAAACAAAAGACTGTCTACTTATTCTCTGTCCTTCCCCCCACCCCCACGCAACCTGCTGTTTTTGCTTCTGCTCCTGTCAGTTTATTACCACTGCGTCTACCAGGGCTGTCAGCAATGTCCTGATTTGCTCAATCCAAATTCACTTTTCTGTCATTCTTTTACTTGACCTGCATTCTTGTTTGCCTGCTCATGCTTGACCTCTTATCCTCTGACCTGAAAGCATTGTTCCCTGCTGTCCACTCCCTTTTTCCTGCAATTCTTCTTTAATTTTTATGACCTACTTTCTTATGGCCTTTCCTGAGTCACAATACACAACTATGCACATCATGTTTTTTCCAGATATGCTTCTTCCTTAACTCATGTTTTAGGGGTATGGTACCATTGTTCTCTCAGAATACATTGATTTTTCCATTTAAAAGATTTCTTAAAACCATTTCTTCTTTTTCATTTCTATTGCCATTTTCTTAGGACTGCTAATCTTGGTACAGTAGCTTGTCAACTTATTGCTGTGTCTCCCTTCTTGACTACATTCATTTTCTCCATTTGCTACCAGAATGATCTTCCTAAAACAGAAGCATAATTCTATCACTCCTTCCTAAACCTTTGGTAAATTCCTATCATCTTCTCCAGAGTTTCTCAAATTCAGCACTGGTGACATTTGGGCTGGCTGTTTCTTCATTGTGAGAGATGTCCTGTTATTCAGTAGCTTCCTTGACCTCTCCAGATTAAATTGCCAGTAACACTCTACCACCCATTTGTGACAACCCAAAATGGCTCCAGAAATTGGCAGTAGTTGCAAAATTGTACCTGTTTGAGATCCACTGGCCTACAGAATAAAATTCAAGTTTCTCAGCAGGTATATAAGGCCATTGTGATCTGCCCTGTCTTTTCCCCAGCATCATTCATCCTCATGCCCTAGTGCTCCATGTCTGCACTTACTGTAAGGTTTCTTAATGCTGACTGCTCATCCTCTTGTTTCCACACTTTACCCATGATTTTCTTACTACCAGGTTCTGTTGCTCCCATCCACTACTATTTTTCCTTGACTGACATCTTTAGTCCTTAGAATTAACTCAGAAGTCATCTCTAAAGAATCCGTCTGTGACCCCAAGTCTAGATGAGGTACCAATCTTACGTGCTGGTGTCACTCCTCTGCTTCCCTCTCTTTATTCATCACAAAGCTTGACATCTGCATATTCTGCAGGCGGTGAGAGCTGATGGCAAGACTGTTTTTACCTCTGTGTCCTTCCTAGTAGACACTCAATAAATGTCAACTAATGAATGGTTGGTGCTCAGTAAGTCTTTGTTGAACAAAAGAATAGTCTTCCTGGAAACAGCTGCAGTTCACAGTTCTTTTACTTTCCACCATTCCATCCTGTTTATGTCATTGAAAAAAAGCCAGTTGGTCAGTAGGTCAAGCAGCATTCATCCCAAAAGCAAAGATTTTAAAGAAAAAGGTAAGGCTGTTCTATAAAATCTCTGGCACTCTACTGGCAATGAAGCACAAATAGCTTTATGTTGTGGTTGGTACTAGAAAATCAGGAATAAGAATTGAGAGTTTAGTGGAAATGTGGTAAAGAAGCACTACATTTTTTCTCTTGCAGCATATGGATTTCTCATTAGTTCCATGTAAGGGAAAACCGGGCGGGAGCGCTCAGGGCTGCAGCTGTCCATACTCTCTCCCCTCATCATTCTGCTGCCGCCACACCTGATCCCCAGAGATACCCTCACTTCTTAGCTATTTGGCTTCATTGTGGACAAATCCCCCTGGTCCGACAGAGACTAGCCTGGAATTTTTCAAAAGAAATTTTGCTAGGAAACTAGTGGGAAAACCAAAACAAAAGTACAAACAGGAAATATAGTATAGAAATAATAAAAATAGTGTCCCTCCAATCTCTTAGTCGAAGATAACTGAAATCTAGTATTAGCTTCTTCGACTCGCTTTGCTGTTTATTTGTTTGATTTTGCCATGATATGGTCTGTCTTTGGGGAACTTCTCCCAAGTCTCCCTTTTCAGTCTTTGTGTATTTTTTTTCTCTTACTGAAAAATCTTTCCCATAGTCATCCAGAAAAGGAATTGAAATTGGCTTTGCAGTCAGTCTCTGTTAATAGACAGCAGGTTACCTCTTAGAAGGAACAGTTTCCAACTGTTTCTAGGACTAAAACAATTTAGTACTTGCAAACACACTCTGAGGACCGGTGCTAAGTTATTTATAATAAGGGTTTTACTTGTCTGGTATAAAGTGAAAAACACAATGTCATGAGTTTTTAAATGACATTAAAGAACAGGCCTTTTTACTCTAGGATTTTTTTTTTTTTAACTTTTTAGGTATTGAAATAGCAGATAGGTTGAGGGCATGGCTTAGTGTGGAGTGCTTGCCTAAAACACACACGCAACAAAATAACGACAAAAATGACAAAACCAGATAGCTTATGTTTTTATGTATCAGTTTAAAAAGAAATTTAATTTTAAAAATATATAAGTAATAAACTTTATCCTAACAATATCAGATGGTAGTTGTGAGGTTTTTCTTTGTTGGTAATGGTTTTTAGATGTCTTTACTTGGCAGGATTAAAAGGTGATAATTCTGTAGATGCCTCCAGTTTTTAAAAATTCTCCTTGGTCTCTGAAATCCGAAACTTTGGCCAAGAGATATTTTATACAATAGAGAAGTATCCTTTGTGCTTTGAAAAGGTATTTATCATTTGATAAGGTATTTTAACATGTAAGTGGTTTATTTTCCAATCCCCCAACAGTATATGCTGTAGTTAACTGTTTTCAAAGGCAAATGATGCAATTTTTTATGTATGATAGTCTCTCCTAAGGAAGTAGATAGTTGCTGTAATACAGTCCTCATTCAGATAGTCATTTAACTGAATATCGATAAATATATTTAGTATGTGCTAGGTTCTGGGTAAATCCAAATATGAGTGAGTTATTGTCCCTGTCTTCAAGTAAATCCTAAACTAGGAAGGACCAAGTAGTAGACAATGGGACAGGGTGTCTGTACTCTGCAGATAAAGAGGAAGAAAGTGCCTAATTCCACCATGGACAGCTTTACAGAGAAAATAAACTTTACCTAAGGACAAGTTAAGGAAAAGCATTCTAGGCAGACATCTGCCAGGACTGGAAACACTAAGGGAACATTTCTGACCACTTTAGCATTGGAACACGTGCAGAAGATGAAGCTGATAAGGTAGTACCCAGTTTTAATTTCCTGTTCCACAGCTACCTGTTACTGAGCATGTGGTTTGCATACTTGTAGTCCAGAAAAAAGCCTAAGCAAGAAAGCTATATTTTGTCATGATTTATTCCCTCCCTTAACAGCTTTTGCTCTTGCCAAGGGAATTTAATGTGGGTTAATGTCTCATGCTTGATTCAAAGAGTTAACTACCAAAGCACAGCACAAGGGAGACCTAATATAGGCAGTTTTATTGACTATGAACTTACCCTGGGCCACACATGAGTCTCAGCTCCTACAAGAGCAGATGCTGTGGCACTAACATCAGTGGAACCCTGGACTCAGAAGCAGTATGCCAGTGTGCCAAAGAGGGGCCTGACCTGACAGCACCTGGAACACTGTGCTCAGCTCTGGATCCCACATGCTGTTTTTATGGTTGCTATAGATAAAATCTAGAGGGTATTTGGAGGAGATGGCTCAGAAGCCATCAGACAAACAGTGACATTAAAGAGAATTGATTATAACAGAATTTCTCAAGGCAGAGGCAGGTGTCTTATTCTGGGTTGCAAGAGTAGATTAAAAGGAAATTGAGGGATTTTCTTTGGCTCAGTGTAAGAAATAATTTTTTAAGAGTTTTTCTTATCATGGTCCTCAGATTATTTTGCCAAAATGTGAAAATGTTTTTGAAGCAAGATAAGTACACTTCCCTGCCCAAATACCACAGGAGAGACCTAGTTAGCATTCCTGCCATCTTTCAAGTCTATGAAACATATAACTTGTTCCATTTTTTAAAGTGTCTGACTCTTTACTGATTTTGCTACCCATACCTTTATAACTCAATTCATTTTGAATTTTCTTATTTTTAGTATTTAACCAAAAAGATACCACAGAACCCAAAGTATCGGCATGTCAAGTCAAGATTGGACACTGGTGAGTAGAGATTATTAGAAAATTAGATCTTTAAAAAATCCAATAGCTGTTTATTTACAAGAAGCAGCCCATCAAACCTGGTATAAGTCACAGCTAGATGTTTTCACTGTCTTACCTGATGTCTTTCTGGGCCTGGGATTTACTTTGGGAAGCTTTTAAGAAAGATTATTGGTAAAAATTTGCATTTACATAATTTCACTTATTTTTCCCTACCACATAAGAAATAATATAAATTGGGAAAATGAAATCTTAGAAATTGAAAACATTTTTCAATAAGTTGCTGGGCTATGTGTTCGGTTCTCTTTTCTCGGGGGAAAAAAAAAAGGTTGCTGGGCTGATGATAAATAAATAGCAGGAATCACTCTCTGTTTTGGAGCACCTTAAATACATTTCTTCAGGCTGGCAGTAAGATCACGCATGTGTGTGCTAGTTCAGTTCAGTGTTTGCAGTGTGCTGACTACATGCAAAGCCATGGCTCATGGGAGAAAGAAAGAAGAGGACCGTGACTTCTATTCAAGTGCAGACTAGCAAACTTGAATGAGTAACCAAAATACCAGACAAAATTTAATTAGTGCTGTCCAGTTTGAGTGTCTTCCTGCTTATTTCCAGGCTGTTCCCATCTTTCATGTCATGATAAGGAGTTCTGAGCAAATCCTAGCAGATTTGTAGTCTTCTGAGGTTTGGGTTATTTATTTGTTTATGGGTTTTTTTTTCAGTCTTTTAAAGCTTGCTGTAGAAAATCCACCTGACTGAGATGGCTTTGCTAATGCTAGTCTGCCTTTAACAATACTGAGTTTTCAATCACTACCTCACAACACTGGTTGTGAGGTAGATGTTGTTGCCTTTATTTAAATCATCTCATTTACTTTTTTCCTTTTCTCATTATCTTCTCAAAATCATTATCTTTCATTATGCATGTTACCTCAAATAACATAGATTTTTAATGTTTCACATGTATCACATAGGCAGTTACTATGTCTTACTACCTTTCTTTCAAACATTTCTATGCCATGCAGGTACATATTTATTCTTGTGAATATCCTATTTGATGTACAGGTGAAAATATTATCACTGTTTTAGAGGAAAAGAAAATTGTGGCCTGGAGATTTTCTGATTTACTTGGAGTTCAGTAAAGGAGTTAAAACTAAGATTGTTTGCAGGGTAAGGAAGTCAGTAACAGAGAGTGAGTATGAAATCTCGTGTACAATTGCTTAGACTATACTGCCTTTGTGTTTCCTCCAACCTTGTTTCTTCTGGAACAGATAGCCTCAGTTCCTCCATCTGGATCTATCTCTTCTCAATAGCAATGGTGAGCCATCCTTCTGAAGTAAGTTGTTCCGGGAGTTAAGCTCCTAGATTTGAAGTGCCTTTGTTTCTGAGGAGCTGGGATAGAATTTTAAAGACAACTGTGTGATAATGAATTTCTTTTGAACCTTTATAGTCTCTTAAACTTAAAAATATTAAGAGCTCACATTTATCTTAGATACCTATATTTGTCTATGCCTTGTAATTTTTCTCCTGAAAATTAAAATGGTATTTGTGTATACCCTTCATTCTCTTCAGTTCATAGCCAAAATTTGACTCGATGATGCCTAAGATTAATTTCAATTTTTTAAATATTGAGATACTTAATCTGCTTTTATAATTGATGTTAAATACATATATCCTCTTACATCCTCAGTTTTAAACTACTTCTTTGTTAAACTTTTTATTTTGAGATAATTGTAGATTCATATATATTTTGTAAGAAATTATATAGAAAGGAATTAGAAATATAGTGCAGTGGTAGAGTGGTTGCTTAGCGTGCCCAAAGCCCTGAGTTCAATTCCCACCACCAGAAGGGAGAATTAAGAAAGAAAAAGAGACAGAGAGAAAGAGAAGAAAACAGGCAGTGATACAGGGAGATTCCTATACCATTTATCCATTTTCCCACAGTGGTAACATCTTGCAAAACTACTGCATATCACAGCTGTAATAACTGACGCAATAGCATTTCATTACCACAGAGATTCCTTCTGTTGTCCTTTTGTAGCCTTGCCTGCTTGCCACTCCCACCCCTCTTTAACCCCTACCAACCACCAGTCTGTTCTCTATTTTATCATTTTGTTGTTCACCAATATTATACAAATGGAATTACATAGTATGCAACCTTTTGGATTGGCCTTTTTTTTTACTCAGCATAATTCTCTGAAGAATTATTCAAGTTGTTACATGTATCACTAATTTGTTCCATTGTATTACTGGCTAGTTTTCCATAACACAACTGAACTGCAATTTAACCATTTACCTGTGGAAGAACATCTCCATTATTTGTACTTTGGAGCTCTTCCAAATAAAGATACTATAAACATTAATGTATAGATTTTTGTGTAAAGATGTCTTCATTTCTTTGGGATAACTGCCCAGGACTGTAATTGCTAGGTCATGTAATTTACTTTTTTTTTTTTTTTTTAAAGAAACTGCCATACTATTTTCCAGAGTGGCCATACCATTTTGCATTCCTCTCAGTAGTGATGGATGAGTAATCCATTTTCTCCATATCCTCACCAGCATTTGATGTTTTGTTTCATTTTATTTTGCCATTCCAATAGATTTCAGTGACATATTGTTACAATTTTTAATTTCCTTAATCAAGCATGGTGATGCATGTCTGTAATCTCAGCACTCTGGGAGGCTGAGGCACAAGGATTGCCATGAGTTTGAGGCCTGCCTGGGTTACATAGTTTGTTCAAGGCCACCCTGAACTACACAGTGAGACCCTGTCTCAAAAAACAAAACAACTTTTTAAAAAAAATTCCCTGCTGGCTAACGTTGAACATCTTTGTAAGTATGTTTTATTTTCTGATATATCTTCTTTGGTAACAGGCCTTTTTAGATATTTTGCCTGTTCTGATTGGGTTGTCTTTTTATTGTTGAATGTTGAGAGCTTTTTATATAGTTTAGCCTCTAGTTCTTTGCCATATATGTGATTTGCAGGTATTTTTTTCCAGTCTGTAACTTGTCTTTTCATCTTTTTAATGGGGTCTTTTGGAGAATAAAAGTATTTGATTTTAATGAAGTCTTTTTTTTTTTTTTTACCAATTTTTCCTTTTATGGCCCTTGGTTCTATTATCAATTCTTAAGAATTCTTTGCTTACTCTATATCCTGATAATTTACTTCTAAAAGTTTTAAAGTTTTAAGTTTTACATTTATGTCCATGGTATAGAAGTAGTTTTTATGTGTATATATATACTGAATTGCGTGTTCATCTTTGTCAAAGTCAGTTGGGCGTATTTATATGGATCTATTTCTAGGTCTTTATTATGTTTCCTTGATCTATATGTCCGTCACTTTGCCAACACCACACAGTTTTTATTATTGTGACCGTATAATAAATTGGATACTTAAAATTGGTGAAACCAATTATCTCCACTGATTTTCTTTTTAAAAATTAGGTATTCTAATTTCTCTGTCTTCACACATAAATTTTAGAATTTACATTGTTTACATTTATAAAAGTTTGCTGATTTTTGATAGTAGCTGTTTATCAGTTTGAGGAAAATGACATATTTATTAGGTGGACTAAGCATTAATCTACTTTCCATATTTATTGACTCATCTATTCTGAAAATTTCATATTAAGTGGAATCACATAACTTATAGCCTTTTGTGTCTGATTTCTTTAACTTAATATAATGTTTTCAAGGCTCATCTATGTTGTTGCATTGCCAAATAATATTCTGTTGTGTAGATAGTAGGTATTTTGTTTGTTGGACTCATCAATTGGGCATATGGATTATATATGCTTTCTCACCACAGTGCTGTTATTCACATGAATATATACAAGTTTTTGTATGAACATATATTTTCTGTTCTCTTGGGATATATACCTCAGAATGGAATTTTTGGTCATATGGTATTCTGTGCTTAATTTGTTTTAGAGACTACTAAACTATTTCCCAAAGCAGTGATACCACTTTACATTTCCATCAGCAGTGTAGGAGAGCTCTCTTTTTTCCACATCCATGTTACTGGCCATCATTTTGATTATAGCCATCATTGTGGGCATGAGATAATATCTCATTATGGTTTTAATTTGCATGTTCCAAATGATTAGTGATGTGGAGAACCTTTGTATATGCTTATTGGCATTTGTATATTTCCTATATAAAACGTCTGCTCGAATCCTTTGCCCATTTTTAAATTGAATTAGTTTCCTTCTTATTATTACAAGAGTTATTTATTCTGGATACTAGACTTAGCAGAAATATGATTTTCAAGTATTTTCTCCAATGCTGTGGGTTATCCAGGGTTTTTGTTATACTTAGCTGGAATAGTGGAAAAATTACATGTATCCATCTTCATGGAAGCAGAAGCCTCCCAAGCTAGTATTGTAGTAACTGTTGGAAGGGCTAAACTGTGCCTCATTGCTTAGAGCTTGAAGTATTTTTAAGTCAGTGTGGGAGAGAAATCTTATTTTAGTATTTGAGTTGTGTGTGTTTCAAATTTAGAAACTATTTTAAAGTCAACTTAGGAGAAAAAAATCTTATATTTAATGTATTTATATTTAATGTTTGTGTTTCCATGCATTTTTATAACTTACCTCTCTGTTCAGAGGAAGTTTTCCGCTTGATGTGTAGCACCTGTGGCATGTATGCTAAGATTCAGAACCCATCAGCCTTTGATAGCTAGCATTTGTGCAAATATTGTTCTCTGTGCCACAAAGTAAGGAGTCCTGGTTAAGAAAACACAAGAGAAACCTTATAGCCCAAGTAACAGTAAGGTGTTCTCATCTGTGAAAAGTATGTAAGCTCTTCATTCAGAGTGATGGAAATAGGCACAGGAATGAGTGAACATTTCCTGTTTCTATGCTAAACAGATGAATCTTTAATCTTCTCTTACCAGACGGTGAACACTTCACAGTTAATCACAAGAAATCAAAAATTTCATACTTCCAATCTTGACCCAAATCACCTTCAACTGGGTTCTTCAAAGATTTTCTCCTGGGGAAAAATTATTTTCATTTCTTTATCTCTAATTCCTCTTCTCATAGTCTTTGCTGTACATTGATGTATAGCTATGGCTAGAAATCTCAGAATTATTTTGAACTTACAATATTTCTTTTGTTCTGTAGGTGCCTGAGTGTATCTTCTCAGCTACCCAGCATTGCTAGACTGTGCCATGAGTGGTTTATGAAGCCCCTGCCAACGTTTTGTTCAGGCACCACCACAGGGTTCTTGTATATTTTCAAGCACCCTCTGGATTTCTGTTCTCTTGTGCTGCAGGCTGATTAAGGGACACTTTCCAAACCTCAGGGCCCTCCCCATTATTAGTGCCTTCAGCTGTATTATCCTTTCACTTCAATCTAATTTCACGTTTCTTTAACATTCCAATTCTGTAGATTTTTCAGTCTTTCCTAACTTATTTTTAGTTTCATAAAATTTACTTTCCTTTTATCTCTGCACAAACTAGTTATTTCCTGTTTTCTTCTCTAGTCTTGGTTTTTTCTGAATATTTGCTAATAACCGTGATCTTAAACACTCAAACTCATTACAGAGTAGATACCCTTCATTTTTATTTGGTATTTGATTCTGTCTCTTACGTCAAAGGAAGGAATGTATGTGAAAAGCTTTTACAAACCAGAAAGCATTACACACACGTATAACTTATTGAGGTTAACAAAGGCCCACTATACCTCCTTTCATGCTTTCTGCTGCTTCTGAGCCAAAAGAACTTCTTCATAGAGGAGGGAAATATTGAAGAAAAATAAAGCCGTGGAGTTGTTGCTTAGCAACGGAGTTAGTGCTTTATAAATCTTACCCACTTTAGATTACTGCTGTTCAGAATCACTTGCTTTTTTTACAGGCTCAGTATGAATAATGTTATTAAGTTATGGGGACACAACAGGAAAAATCTAATGAATGAGTCATTCAGTTAATCGATTGTACTCTGTCTTCGCACAGAACTATTGATATAGTGGACTTATTTCTTTCTCTTGATTCTAATTGTAAAACTTTTATTATATGTCTTCCACTGCAATTTAAGTTATAAACATGGGAGAAACTAAAACCACCTTATATGTGTCTAGATTGCCTATGTCAGTATGGGTAGTCTGTATCACAGTTGTACAAATCAAATCATGCATAGTTTAAAGAAAATCACATGAAATTCCAGCCAAACTGGCATGTGATTAAATTATAGAATAACTTATTGTAAGGATTTTTCAAATGATAGATTCTTCATAGTATATTTCATTCAGCAAATATTTTTGAGTGTCTCTAATACTAGACAATGGGCAAAATGAAGATTATATGTTTGCATATGTGAGTGTGCATGAATATGCATGTTTGCACAGATAAATAATCTTGGACCAAATAAGGTCGATAAGACAATCCAGTCTGGTGATAAATGCCTTGTGAATGGTAAGCTGAATGCTGTAGGAGTTGGGAGGAGGGAAATGTTGCTCTCCTCTGGGTGAGCTAACATGGTGATATGTTAGAGAAACAAAGGCTAACAGAGTTTGTCAAGTTGAGTAATTAAGGAAACACTGAAGTAGTAGGTAAGTTGTTGGCGGCTTCAGTGCTAACACAGGAGTTTAAGCAATGGAGAACCAATGAGCTTTTCTTAAAAATTATTTTTCCTTTTTAATCAGTCTTATCTAGGAAATTTGGAAAGTGATGTTTAATTTAAAAAACATATTAAATTAATTCTCTTAGGCTTTTAGGCAACTTTGTATAAAACAAAGAAGTTTATGTAAAAGTGAATTGTCGACTCATTTCTAGGCTTTTTAAATGGTAATCAGAAACTATTTTCTGCTGCAAGTAGATGCAGTAAGATAAGGCACATGTAAATGTATATATAGGATAGAATACCACTTCTCATATTTTCTGAAATTATTCTTAGGGATTTTTTGTCTTGATTTGGGATTGATCAGTCATCCCACTGTCTCATTTCTCCAATAGAAACTATGCAAAAATCTTCTCTCTTTTCTCTCCTATATTTGGATCGAAGGAAGTTCTATAATGAAAGAGTTATTAATCACCCTCTTAGAATTGTTCATAATTTTACCAGATCACAACTACAAAAGATTTTTGTTTCTCTGCCTCCTCATTTAGTAGGAAAAACAATGGTAGATGGGACAACTTACCTCAGAGTGTCCTGTGAGGATCTGCTGATCTGAGGTGGAATTCTGTGTCAATACACAGAAAATTCTGGTTGTTGATAAGGAGATTAATTTTAGGCACTGTTAGTAGAAACTGTAATGCTTAGAAATATAATAGTTGAATAATGAGAATATAAAAATAAAGTTGGCTATTTTCCATTCCTAAGGAAATTTCTAGTATCAGATGGTCTCTGCTAGTTACAGTTAAGGAAGTCGTACTTCCTCCAAATTTGCCTCATAACGAATCATGTTTTAAAGCAACATGAGGGCTAAGGATGTAGCTCAGTAGTAGAGTGCTTGCCTAGCATGCATAGGGCCTAGGGTTTCAATAAGAAATAACTATAATGCAACAAAACTAGAAAAGCCAGGTGTTTTTTGCTTGGGTGAGTGAAATCTTGGCTTATTTACTCACTTACTATATCACTGGACAAATCAGTAATCTTTTTTTGTTGTTATTTTTCAGTTTCCTAAATAGATTATTTGAATTTTCTTTAGTCAAAAGAAAATAATGGCCATATCAACAACATGGGGTACACAGAAATGCATAACCAAACATTACTTTATAAATATTTTAAGAATAGTATTGTGGAAAGCTGATGATTTTCTGTCTTTCCTTATTGTACTGACCAGTCTAGTAAGTTTTGTGTGTTCAGGAAGAATTCATAGATTTTGGTATAGACCTAGGATATAATGAGTCTTCCTTTGTGGTATGGATACAGATAATATTCAAGCTGTGATTTTAAAAAATGGTAATGTTAAATTTTTAAAAAACTTTCATTACCGTAAAAGACACATTGCCATTAATGCTCTTTAAATGTCTCCCTTGTTTCAAACATGTATCCGTAGTTCTTGCTTCTGAAGCAGTTCTGGAAGTTCTCCTTCATGTCTTTATTTGTGCTGTCCTAGCTGCCTTGATGTCATGAATTGACCCGCAATGTTTACCTTTCATGGTCATCTTGACTTGGGAGAAGAGCCAGAGTCACAGTGCCAGATCCAGTCAATAAGGTGCATGACAAGGTACCACAATGTTTTTACAAGTCTGCCTTTCCATCAAATGGCATTTAGCAACAGCACTCACCGTATTTTTTTTTAATCAGGCCTCAAAAAGACACAAAAAAAGGACTTACAGAATTGCTTCAGAAAATGACAAGAACAATAAGTGTGTTTGAAGAAAAGGGAAATATTTTAAGGGGGGTGAATGGTAATGTATCTTTTAATATAATAAATTTATTTACTATATTTGTATTAAGGTGAAATGAACAAAAACATCCAAACAGTAGGTTTTCATTCCATGATGTATTCATGTAAAAATTTAATAATGACAAGTGTTTTGTTTTGTTTTTCTTTTTGAAAACATATTTTAAATTCAGTGCAAGTAGTTTTCTTTCTCTGCTTCTGACCCACACATGAGAAAAAGTTAATAGTCCTTGAAAATACCAGTTCATGTTATGATTAGGAAGCCTTTTTTTTTTTTGTCCAAAATTGGGCTGACTCTTAACTAGAGCCTCTCAAGGCTTAAAGTTAGGAGCACAATTTTAGAAATGAGAAATTACTTTGAATGTTTTCTTTTGGCCATACGTTTAGGTGCCAGAGAGAGTTTTCTGGCTTGAATTGAATCAGAATATAGCATTCCCAGTAAAAAATAATAGCCTTTGGCTTGGGAACTAGAATCTAATTCATTCAAAAACCAGAATGATCCTGGCCACTTTTAAAACATGAAAACTCTCCAAACCACATTGGCTAGAACCTAGTATTGTAGAACCAAGCCACAAAGCATGAAAGATGAGGACTCTCCACAGTGGTGGGAATTTGCTTGTATTTCTCAGCAATCAAGTCCATGGTGAATACTAGTGTCCAGACTGTGTGGTCTAGTTTCAGCATGCAGCATCAGCACGAATAGTAAAAGGCCACATTCAGGAAAGAGGAGGGAACCACAATGACAAAGCCAAGAGGAAAGGGTTGCTCAGTAGCCACAAAGGCACATTTTAGACATTCAAAGAACTTTCTTTCTTTTCCTCTGTTTATCTTCCCCACAAAATATTACAGAGGTTGAGGAGATATATAGAGGAGGAAAACCTTGACTGCAAAAGGAGGGAAGGGTGAATAAATCACTGGTATTGCTTGAGACTGCTAAATGGTTTGTTATGCACCCCAGCTTAAACACATTTGACTGAAACATTTCTTTAGTCCTGCATCTTCTAATGATGCTGTGTAATCGAACAACTATTATGTGTGGCCCTTTTGCCTACCATCCACAGATTCGTGGGAATGTAATGGGGAAGCTTAGGGAGTATAATATTTATTCTTCATTCCATTTTCACAGTGGTGCTCATTTTCTTCCATTTAAAGCATATCTAAAATTCTCTATTTTCTTTTTTAGGTAACAGCATGACAAAATATATTGAGAAGCTAGAAGAGATTAAAAAAAGTGAGTAATATTGTTGATGACTTAAGAAAGTGGAGCTCAGTAATATTCTTTTTTTTCAATGTGCAGATTTATTTATTTAGTAATTCTTTTTTTTTTTTTTTTTTTTTTTTTTTTTTTTGGTATCGGGGATCCAACTCACAACACTGCACTTGCCACGTAGGCACTTACACTGCTGAGCTAAATCTCTGGCCCCTCAGTAATATTCTTTGAGCTGATTTTTTTTTTTTTTTTTTTTTGGTCTTTTTCGTTTTTATCAGTACCAGGGATCAAACTCACGACTGCCTACTTGCAAGGCAGGTGCTTATGCTGCTGAGCTAAACCCCCAGCCCACTTTGAGCTGATTTTTAACTACCACCATCCTCTACTGGTGGTGTGCACAGAGAGCTACACAGGTCAGGTGAGCCTGGCAAGTGCACAGAAGGATGTGGGAGACACTGGGTACTCCTGACCAGCTCCTAACATTGTAGCCTATGAGTCTGAGTTTTGCCCAACTTCCCTCCCATAGAGATATTGATGTTTTGTTTTATTTTTTGGTTCCGGGGATTGAACTCATGACTGCACTTAGCAGGTAAGCACTTAAGCTACTAAGCTAAATCCCCAGCCCGAGGTACTGATGTTAGAACTCACAATGAGGTTGGATGGAATGAGCTCTCCTCAAGTGGGCAGAATCTGAGCTTTGAATTTCATTATACTATATAGTCTTTGTGGCCTTTTTGAAGATACTTCATCTTTTGTCTCTTCTTATTTGGTCTGTTCCTGACATAAAACAATAATATCTCTCTTCATAATGTTCTTATGAGTATAAATTAGACCATATTCACAAAAGACTTAGAGGTATGAGAGGAAAGAGCTTATTCTTAGTATTCTGCATTATCCATTTATTGCAGTCTGTTTCCTTTTAATTAAAAATCATATTTCATGCACATCCTTTTTAAAAACTAATCTTCTGTAGAGATATCTTATGAGTGACTGAGTACATTGCCTTTGCACAAAAATTATAGTTTTTTAGTCTTTGTTCAAAACTGTGTAAAATGTACATACCAAGGCCAGGATTGAAAAAGTAAAAACATCTGTTTTCTGAGATGGATTTACTCAAGTGTTAAGTTGGAAAACCCACTGTTAGGGGAGTGTTTAGCTAATGATAGTGAAGAGGTATTCTGATTATAGTTCAGGACTTTATTCTGGCAATGCCTGCTTTCTTGAAAGAGAAAATTCTAAATCTAGAATACACAAGAATTTTTTTTTTACACAGCATACTTTTCAATTTAAAATGATAATGTTTGTTTTGAGTTAGTACTTGGGGAAACCCCGTATGTACAATAAATATGGACTCAGGAGCAGCTTTCTGCTGTCTTTATTTGCCACATGCAGCTGTAAGAGTCAGTGCTATAGATACTTTTTTAAAAAATGAGTAATGGGGACTGGGAACATGGCGGACAGACAGCAGCAGCTACTGAAGGCTCTCTAAAGGCTCGGCTCAGAGGCCAGGAATGATGCGGACTAAGGAGATACGAACCAGTAGAGATATGCTCTGCTGACTCAGGAACGAACTGGGCTGAGAGAATCTAACTTAGAATACAGTCCTGGCGCTAAAATAGGAACAGAAAAATCTCGGTGTGGAGGCTCGACCCCGCGCCATTGGAAACCGCGGTTTGGATTTCCCACCACCCAGCGGCTGGCTGCCTCCACAGCGGCTCAGCAAGGAGAGACGCGACCCCCGAGCTCTGGGAACGGGCGTCTGGGAACGGTCTCGGAAACAGGACGGACAAGGAGGCGTATACGAAAACTGACTGGTGGCGAGGTGAGCGAGGGACTGACCCCCTACCACAGTTTGACTCCAGCGGAGGTTTTTCTGGGCTCGGGCAGTCCTGTAAGAGCAGGGCGCGGTGACAACTCCAGCCGCACATTCCCCTCTCGGACGGGATTGGTGAAAGGTGCCTGGCCTGAGTGACGCTGCTGGCGGACTCCCTAGGCTGGCCTAACCCAGATCCCAGAGCCTGACGGTGGCCCGGAGGAGCGACCGACTCCCGCGTAGGCTGCCTCCTCCGCAACTCCCTGGGGCGCAGCGGTGGGCGGGAACAACTAGCCAGCGCAATTTGATCAGGCTGTGGCTGACAGGCAGGGAAGCCGGGCCTCCTATGTAAGCTTGCATTTTATAAGGAACAGAAAATATGGGGAAGGGAAGCAACAAAAAAGGCTCCTCGGCCCCCAATCCTGAGAAACAGGCAATAGTGGACACCGCACCAATATACATTAAGCGCCATCTAGAGAGCCTCATAGACCAATTCAGGAATGAAGTTATCAATGACCTGAAGCTAGAAGTATGCAGAATAGTTAGAGAAATGCTAAGCACCACCCAGGAAAAAGCAGATGGTGGAATGGAAGAACAGAAAAAGAGGGGAGAATTGCTTGATGGAGAAAACAGAGAAAGCATTGAGTATGTGAAGCAGGTTCAAAGAGACTATCAAGAAATTAAGAAGTCTATCGAAGACTGGCATAACAGCTTGAAAGAAACTAAGGACAGACTATCTGAATTGGAGGGCAGACTTGAAACATGGGAGAATGAAATGAAAAACTTCTTAAAAATAACAAAGAAACACACAGCAATAATACAAAGACAAGAAGATGATAAGAGGAGCCATAACTTAAGGATTAAGAACATAAAAGAAGAAGTAGGGACACAAACAAGTGAACTACAAAAGCTACTCACAGAAATAATCCAGGAGAATTTTCCTAATTTAGCAAAAGGTAAAGATACTCAGATGTATGAGGCATACAGGACCCCAGCTACCTACAACCCTAACAGAGAAACACCCAGGCATATAATAATAAAAATTCCAGAAATTCAATACAAGAACAGAATATTAAAAGCTGTAAGAGACAAGAAACAGATCACTTACAAGGGAATACCCATCAGAATTACAGCAGATTTCTCTTCACAAACCATCAAATCACGAAGAGCGTGGGGAGAAATAATTCAAGCTTTGAAAGATAATAATCTCCAGCCAAGATTGAGATATCCTGCACAACTGTCCCTGGAAATTGATGGAAAAACAAGGTGCTTCCAGGATAAAGAGGAACTGGGGGAATTTGCAACCACCAATTCAACCCTACAGAAAGTATTGCAGGATATTCTAAAAAAAGAAAAATACAAAGAACCCAGAAATAGTGGCGGGGAGGCCACAATGAATGGAGCAGAGAACAAAATGAAGAAGACAAACTGACAGCTACTGACAGAAAAAGAGCTCAACAGAAATGAGACAGAGAAGATTGGATGATAGGAACAGCTTTTTTTGGAGAAAATGACATCTTAATAGGTAATGCTGATTTAGTACCATCTTGTTTTGAAGTCTCATCTAGCTTTTGTTCTTCTGTCTCCAATGGTCTAAACAGGTTGTATCTTATTGGATTTTGTTATGTACGATAGTATAAGCAAAAACCTTTTAAAGACAAGGAGATTATACAGAGACCATTGTTCATTTTCTGTTAGTCGATTCTAAATACTCTATAATGCTGTCATTCTCTTAAATGGTTTTACATTGTCTTGATATACTTAATGCTACAGTATATGAAGTTGTACTCAAGGACTTCAGGGAGGGAGTCAATATGGTAACTATTTTTGGGTCAGGATTATCTGGTGGTGAAACACTATTCTGCTTAAATGGTTATGTTTTGATCTGCCCTGTTTCGCTGTTATGCCCTCTTTTTTCTCAATCTCCACTCCATTATTTACTTTTTTATTTTTATCCATTTAATTAAAGGGAAAAATATAGCAGGATATAATATAGTAACCCACTTTGACTTTCTATTATCTCGATTTGAAGCCCTGTATTACTCTCACCATCTTGTTTTTGACTGAGGTTCCTCTATTCTGTTTTGCTGGATAGTATCAGGTTCGAAAGTTTAGGCATCAGCTGAGAAGATAATGAGATTCATTATAACGCCCATTCTCGTTGACTTTTATCTACTTTTGAAGACCTACAATATCTCCAATGTTTTGGTTTTGTCGGTTTTATTCTTTACGGTTTTGTTCAATTGTATTACAACTAATGATATAGGCAATTCTATTAGAAATAGCGGGAGGCATTATGGTAACCATTGTTGATCACCTTGTATTATGTTTTTATATTATCTATTATGTCCACCCTTTTGACTTGACCGATTCTGTTCTGTTATGTCACATTTGGTTTTACTCTCTTCCAAAAAAGCAATAAGAACCGTGGGAGCAATGAAACCCAAAATGTGTAATAGTCATTGTACAAAAGAGAGGAAAAGAAAGTGCTCTAAACTATATAACTGCATGTATATTTAAATGTATAAGATAGAAAATGATATCAGAGAGTTTTATTGGATCATTGAACAGAACTGTTTGCAGTATCATTGTTGGAATGTCCACTCTACAAGCTTTAATTTTGTGACTTGAACAATTATTTCTAAGATGGCAATATGTAATCCATTAACTAGTGATTTCCTACTGCGCATTTTTTTCTCCTGTAAATCTGTATAACTTGTACCCCTTCACTGTTTTTTTTTTCTTTCTTTTATTTTCTCCTTAAATAAAATTAAAAAAAAAAAAAAAAAAAAAAAAAAAAAAAAAAAATGAGTAATGGGACAGGCTTCTCTTCTTATGCACTTTACATCATTATAAGTATGTGTAAATCAAATGTATATGAAATATATTAAAAATTTCCAAACTATGAAAAAAATCTTGTTTACTCACCTACACTTCAATCTTGTCATCCTTCATTCATCCGAGACAGGCAACAGCCAGCCAGTCTGCTCCTGTTTAGGCTTACGGTCTCTTTTGCCTCCTTTCCATATAGCTGAGTATGACCTCACATATCCTCACAAGAAATTTGTCCGAAAAATATTTGTCCCATTCCACCCATATAACATTTCTTAAATGTACAGTTTGATTTCTTGTGTATCTAAACCTTCAATGGAGATTATCTCCCCAAAGTACCACCCTTGGAATAAAGTCTTGGGAACACCACTCATCTTCCTTTTCCAGAAGTCATGGGCTTCCTTATTGGCAGGCAGGAGGTTCTGCTCACCTTGGTCACACGCTTTGTGCTCATTCCAACAGAATTACTTTATATTCTAGTTTGGCATCTGCATTTGGAGAGCTATTTCCTTCTCTTTCGCTGTTTTCTGTGTAAGTGTTCTTTTGGGTCAAAAGGGAGAAGAACATTGCCTTGTTTCATGACACCCTAGACCCATGACTTTGCTTGCATTACCTCAGATGCCACGTCTGTCTGTGAAATCACAAACCTTGTTGTGTTACTTCCTTTGATTTGTCTTCCACTGTGAGGCCAATTTCCCTTTTCTTTGCTAATAACACATTTTAACAAAACCCTGAAAATGCAGAAATCCTTTGTAATCTGAACATTCTTTCAACTCTACCTGGGGAAAATAGACACTCTATCTATTGACCATTGACAAAGCCTATTCTTGGTACCTGGTGGTTAGATGACACTAGTTGGACCAAGTATGAAACATCCTAGATAGTCAGGTCTCTGTCCTTCCAGTAACTCGAGAGAGGCAGACTCAGCCCCTAGGCTCACTGGAAAAGCAAACCTTGATAGCATATCTAAGCTGGGGGGCTCTGTCTCCTACACAGAGTTTGAGAGAAGCACAGTAGCAGAAGCTCCATTCTTAAAGCTGTTCACTCTTGCAAAGACAGACTGACAGAGCCTTCCAAGTCATCCTATTTATAAAATTTAAAACTTGCTGTAAGACATCTAGTTTGGTCTTTTATCTCTTGAGTAATAATGTCAGAAAGTCCTACTGATGGCTGCCCTTCTAAACCAGAACCAGGTACGTGGTATTCAGGCTGTGGTGTACGGGGGGTTCCGAGTGCTTGTGCAGTGGCAGTTCCTGGTTTTGTTTCTTATAATCTGTCTCATTCAAAGGTATTTTAATTTGTACATTTTATACTTAGAAGTATTTCAAATGTATAACCATATCAGAAAAGAATATCTTATGGATAACTGTCATAGTACAAACTACTTGAAAGGTATTGACTGTTTCCATAGGCTGCTTCATTGCCATTTTGATTTACATAGGTGACTCTTGGTGGACAAATTGATGGCAGCTGAGGGGACTTGTACTGTTTGAAGCTTCTGCTAAGTCTATTTAAATCTACATCCTGGCTCTGTTTCCTCCAACTTTATTTGCTGTATCCAGAAGAAGCTGCATTAAGAATTTTCTAGAAGTAATAGTTTATTTGCCAAATAGCTGTCTTCAAGGTATTTTAGGACAGAGTTTTAATTTCCTGCAAGAAGGGGACATGTATCAAGTGAAAGTCTTACCAGTTTATAGAAGGCTGGTTTGTAAAGTAACATCATGTCCTGACTCTGAATATTATGGTAGTTGGTCCACCAAGCTTATATTATCTTCCAAAGTAACCATCTGACCAGTGCTGATTTTTTAGAGGATTCGTGGAACTGATTAGTAACACCAAGTAAATAATCTTAAATACCTTTAATCTCTTCTTTTGTTGCTAGGAGTCTTGATTTATGAGACATTTATGCTGTGAAGGCTATAACAATTATCCAGCTAACCTTTAGCAATTCTGAGATAATGAGCTGGTATTTTAAAGAGTGCTGGGTACCAGTATGAAACCTAATAGAGAAGGGAAAGATGAAGGTAGGCAGAGTTTAACACTGAAAACTCCTCAGAATTGGCAGTTATTCTCAGAAATGTTTAAAGAAGCTAATTTTTAACATGCCTTTCTGAGATAGATACTTGCTTAAGTGAGATTGGTTCAGTTTTTAATAACTTTTAATGTGATGTAAAGAATTAAGATCAAAAGTGTAGAAGTATTCCCCTATTTGAGTTATATCACAAAACGGTAAACATAGCACTTAATAACTATTGGTGTTTTAGGTTTTTTACCTTGTTTAATTGTAATAAAAATAGAAACAAAGTTTGCTATCTGAATCATTTTTAAGTGTATAACTCAGTAATAATGTTGATTATGTACTTAGGATTAACATTCTCAACATTAAGTAATTCTTGTTGAGCAACAGATTTTCAGAACATTTTCATCTTGCAAAATGATTTTTTGAAAGAGAAACTGGTAAGAGATTACCAAAACCAATCAAGTCAATCGCAATTTGTAGCCAGCACACATGCACATATGTATGTACACACATACACCCCACAGTATCCTATCTCTAACACAGTTTCCAACCATGAGAAAATTTTTGCTATCTTTTGAAGCCAGTCAGAATAGTAGGGTGTAAATATCTTACCAGCTGTTTGGCCTGGAGCATCTCAGCTTCTCAAGTCTCTGTCCTCATTTGTAATATAGATATTTATTCCCTCCTTTGTTCTAAAAGGGATTTGAGGCAGCTTATGAAAATACATGCCCACAGAATGTCCACAGTAGAGACAGCTGAGTAATAGGAAAATGGCAAATAATGCTTTTGGATGTCTAAAATAATGGAGAAGAATTAAGAGATGATAATAGTACCTGCTGGCCTAGTTTGAGCATGTCATGAAGATCAAGTGAGATAATACTATATAGATATATATAAAAGCATAAGAATGACTTGAACGGTGTGCCATGTAACTTGATGATTAGAAAGAATTAACAGCTCTAAGAAAGCAAAATAAATTCAGAGAAATATCTGTCTTACCTTGTTTTTCAGATTATAGATACAAAAAAGATGAACTTTTCAAGAGACTAAAAGTTACCACCTTTGCACAGCTGGTAAGTTAAATGTTCTTTCTAATGGATTAGAAAGATCATTAGATTAGCAGCATTTTATACTGCTTTACATCGTGATTTCTAAATTCAACTCTAAGAACTTGTTGCAAGGGAAGGCAGTTGCTTCTGATTCTTTGCTTTTGACCTGTAGGAGGATTAATTGGTATGAGATATTTGTGTTCATACAAGAATAGTGTAAGAAAAAAAATTCTTTTTTTCCAGGCCTGGGGATTGAACCCAGAACTTTACACATACTTGGCAAGCATTTTACCACTGAGCTACACTTTTAGTCCACTCTTTTCTGTGATAAGAATTCATAAATAAAATGCACTCTACTTTTAATTCATCAAATGTGTGGCTTAAGTTTTATTTTACCTTGTACTTTGTGTGTGCTTATGTATGTGGCACTGGGGATTAAACTCAGCCTTGACTCTGGCACCAAGCAATATTCCAAGCCCTTTTTGAAAGTTTTTATTTTGAGACAAGATCTCACTAATCTGCTAAATTGCCCAGGAAGTAATCCTTTTGCCTCAGCCTCCCAGAATGCTGGCATTCTGGATTTAAGATTATTTAGATACTTTTCTCTGTGGAAAAGAAGTGATTTCCTTTGTTCTAAGATTGGGCTCTTTTCCAGATTGTTCTACTGTGAGTTATTTTGTTACACTGGACAAATCATTTTCTTCTTTTATTTTAAAATTATCTACAAGAAATCTTTGGCCTACAAATAAAGAGTTCCATTGGCATACGGCAGGTTAGATTTTAGGCTTTATGAGGTAAGTTATGAAAAGTACTTTAAAAATAAACACTGTATTTAAGTATAAAATGCTGTCATTAGTGTATTCATAGTTATATTTGTTTCTTCATTGCATAGAGAATTGCCAGTATCAGTTATTATAGTTCAGCATTATGTTTTCTTTTTTTTTTTTTTTTTTTCTGTCTTTTCCCTTTTTACCAGTACCAGGGATCGAACTCACGACTGCCTGGTTGCAAGGCAGGCGCTTATGCCCCTGAGCTAAATCCCCAGCCCCTAGCATTGTGTTTTCAAGAAATAACATGTATTGGACCAGGATATACACAGATAGAGTATTAAAAGCTTTTCATGCTTACCCTTTTGGTCTTTTAAATTTATGATATAATGCTTTAAACTAATCTTTCCTTCTGGAATGTTCATCTGCAGTATAATTACCACCTTGAAAGTAAAATGCCCAAAGATTCGATCTCTAAGAAAGGACTATGACAGTTTCTTAAAACAAGAGGTCTTTGATGTTTGTTTTATAAAAGATGGAATTGCCTCTTTAAAAAAAAAAACCTCACATATACCAGACTTCATTCTTTTTTTCTATTAGGTCATCCAGGTTGCTTCCCTATCTGATCAAACTCTGGAAGTGACAACTGAAGAGATTCAACGGCTAGAAGGTAATGAGAATTGAAAATGTGGGGAAAATAACAGACTGACCATTTGACTGACGTAGTCATCCTGTGCGTTTACTGGTGTGTTCTCAGGGACTCGAGACTTTGATGTGTCTATTTATAGTTAGACTGTTACTCTCATCGAAATACTCCCTGGTGCTTTGTTAATTCCTAGATCTTTAAAAAAAAACAGCAATGTGGTTTTTTGACTCTTAAATACATTTAGATTTGAAAGTGTTAGACGTGTTTGATACACTATGTACTTTTTTAACAAACATGTTTTAAAAGTATACATACTGGTCACAGAATTCAATACTATTGAGACCACAGAGATGAACAAAACATCTCTGCTTAGGTGGAATTTATAGCATATGTGCACATGTGCACATGGGTGTGTGTGTTTAGCAGTAAGAATCATAACTGCTACAAAATGACCAGTGCAACAGAATTTAATAAGGCAAGAACACTATTTGTTGAGTATATATGGCTAGGTAGTTTATGTGTGCTTTCTTATTTAATCTTCTTAACAACTCTGGAAGGAAAGTACACTTTACAGATGACAAGCCTAAGCAACAAAGATTAAGTCACCTTTTCAGCCTGATGTAGCAGTAATAAATAGATGGGACACTAGTCTTTGGATGTCTCCCACAGTTACCAGTGTCTTTTTACTGCCTCATGAAGAATTCTAGAAAGTTCTTTTGGAGTGATTCAGATTCTATGGGAATTCTGAAGGAGGAAAGTTGCTTTCCAGTTAGAAGAACAAGGCAGGCTTTCTCAAGGGATTTGAGGTTGGCATCAAAGGGGCCTTAAGGAAGAGGCTGTTGCAGACCCAGAAACAGTCATGAGAAAGGCACAGAGATGACAGGATACCATGTGTGTTTAGGCAATAGACTAATCCAGGCTGGCTTGATCTGAGAGAGGAACAGGCCTGGCTGGGCAGGAGATAAGGCTAGAAGATAAGTAGGCTCCAGATTTCCTTTCTGAAATACCAAGGGAAAATAAAACCTCTGTAGTTGTACTCTCATGAAAAGAATACACAGGCTTCAGGTCTTGATTTTATCCTGAAGTACCTTGCAGTCAATGCATGGCTGTTTACTGAAGGGGAATGTGTTTGTTAAGGTTGATTTAGGTCAGGAATTTGACTTCTGATTTCAAGACAGGTTTCTCAGGAAGTCTGAACACTGATTTTGCGCATCTCAGCTGTCATTTCCCTGGGCTGGTTTTTGTTGGGGAGGATAAAGAGAATCTGTAAATGACAGGAATTTATCTTTGACAGATGCCTCTCACACAGCAGAGAAATAAGGGTTCTTTGTAACAGAGATAATTGAGTCCCCTCATACAAGTGCTCCCAATTTTAACCAGGTTGTACAAGCACCTAGATTTGGTCCTTTAATTCATTGTTGAAAATGCAGCCATAGAACATATGGGCACATGCAATTTTCTTTTCTGAAGATGAATTTGCACAGCAAAATAGGCTCTTGTAAAATAGGACACCAAAATGTGTGAGTAATGTTAGTGCTTTTTTCTAGTGCTCTACACAGATAATAACTCACTCAGGAGTGCCTGTAGAACAGATTGTATCTGTATACATATTAGCTATCATTGAAGAATTCAAAAATCTCCTTTTACTATGTTTATCACTTTTCCCTGACTAGAATGTAAATTAAGAAAACTATATTAAAATATATATAAGGAAAAATGAAAATAAATAATAATCATCATTAACATTTTGGTCTGTTCTCCCTTTCTCCTCACCCCAGTCAAATCTGTATTCATTGTTATAGTTTTATATTATGCTGCTTTTAATTAACATTTTTTGATGCATGCTGTGTCATTAAACAGACTTCAAAAACATGATTGCAAAAGTTGTATTGTCATGTAGTAATATCCTTTGTGTATGCCATAAATTAATTGGGCAACAAAATTTTTCTGATTGTTACCTTAATAAAATAATACTGTAATTCATATTCATAGATGCTTGTATGATTCTTATTCCCAAAAGATAAGTTACTGAAGATGGTCAAAGGGTGGAACCACTGTAGATGCTCAGTGCTCTTTGCCGTGTTGTCTCTAGCATGGCTGTTGCATTCCCATTGGAAATGACAGGCATAACTGGCTACCAATGCTGAATAATTATTATTTTAAAAAAATATTTGCCAGTTCAATGGATGGATAAAATAGTATCTTATTATTTTATTTTTATTTCTTTGATGACATTGGACTGTGTGTGTGCATGCACACATGTGGTTTCTCGACATATGCATTTCTTTTTTTAAAAGACTTTCTGTTTAAAAAGAGTTTATGTGCCCTTTTCTTTTTTCTAATAGGATTCTCATTTTTTTTCTTATTCATTTGTAAGCACTCCAAATAATCAGTATCTATGTATGCTAGAAACCAATACAACCTTGAAAATGAATGACAGAATTCTTTACTGTTTCTCTCATTATTTGGAACAATTTCTAAACAACATTTTAAGTAAAAAGCCCAAAATACAAAACAGTATCAAAGGAATTCTGGAAATATAAAAGAGAAAGGAAATAAAATATATGCAAAAAATTGTAGTTGTTTTATTTCTGGAAGGAGACATAATTATGGAAAACAGTTCCCTTGAGGAGGAAACCTAAGGGCCTAAGGTTATATTAATTTCATCTTGTTTTCATTCTTACCTTGTTCAAAAAATCCTTTTTCAATTAAAGTGCTAATTTTTTAAAAGCTATGGTATATTAACCTTTATTGCAGATATTTTTCCCAATTTATTATTGACCTTTTAATTTTCTGTTGATTTTTGACATATATGATTTTGCATTTTATGTGGTCAAATGTATTAGCCTTTACTGGTTTTTTAAAAAATTGCTTTAGACTCATCCAAAATACTGTAAAGTGTTCACCTATGTTTTCTTCTGCTGGTATATTTATTTGGATTTTTTCACTTTTAAAGCATCTGATATGATTTGGTACATGATATAAAGTGATTTTCTATGTTAGATTTTTTTCCAGATAGTTGAAAAATATTCCCAGCACCATTTATTCAGTATTTCTGTCTCTCTCTGCTGGTTTGTGATATGGATATATTAATGTTTTAATTATATTCTAGGATTTTTTTCCATATTCTTTATTAAATTCCATTATTCTGATTGTAGTCCTGTACTGTTTTGATCATTTACCTTTTCATTATGAGTTACTATTTGATAAAGAAGGTTCTCCAAATTATTCTTTACTTATCTGTATGTGTGTGTTCATGTTTAAAATTAAGTTTTTAAAATTCCATTTGAATTAGTATTACAGATAAAAATGAAATTTGGAAAGAACATTTTATTTTCAGTCAAGAATAAGCAAGGTGTGACACTCTTGTTCATTGAGATCTTCTTTAAGGTTAATTCAAACTTTTATATGTCCTATAAAGAACTAAGAACTTACACATATTTATAGATCCTTTACAGTTGTGTTAGGTTTATTTCTAGGAGAATATTTTATAGCTACAGTTACCATAAATGAGACTTTTATCATGTTGTTCTCTAATTGGTATAGAGAAAAAAATGTTTACTACCCCTATAGTTTTTAGATATATTATCTCATATGTAAAGTAAATTTTAATATCCCCTGTAGTAATCAGGCATCTTACTTCTATTTCTTTTATTATTATTTTATATTGGTTAGAACAGCAGAATCTCAAAGTTTTTGGTCTCAGTCTTCATCTATACTCCTAAAACTTACTGAGGAATCTAAAGGGCTTTGGTTTATTTGAATTATATCTATTCATGCTTAGTACATTAAATTTTAAATTGATAATTTAAACAACATTTATTTATTTTTATTTAGTGTTGCATTCAAAAATAACAATACTAACCTTACAAACATAAAGGGTATTTTGTTGCTGTTTTTAAGGTTTTTTGGTGGTGTACTGGAGTTTGAACTCAGAGCCTTATGCATGCATTCTTCAACTGAGTTATATCCCCAACACATTAAAACATTTTTTTTGAAAATAGTTGTATTTCCAAAACAAATGTTATGCAGAGTGGCATTGTTTCACATATTTTATAAATCTCTTTCATGTTTGATTTAATAGAAGACAGCTGATTTTGATATCTACTTCTGCACTCAGTCTGTTTCAGTGTGCTGTTTGGGTTATAGTATTTGAAGGAAATCTGGCTTACATAGATACATAGTTGCAAAGAGGAGGAATATTTAGTAGCCATTTCAGATAATTATGGATTTTTTTCTCAGATACTACACTAAAACTTGATGACTAGTCATTTCTTAAAATCTAGATGTAATGCAGAATCTGAAACTATCAATGAACTTTTTATAGTCTGTTACATTAAAATCCATTGGTCTGTCTTGCATTTTCAGTGAATTTTTTTTTTAGCAGGATGCCTACCACCCACTAGATGGGTTTGGTTTTTTTTTGTTGTTGTTGTTGTACCAGGAATTGAATTCAGGACCTTGCACTTGCCAGGCAGGTGCTTATAACTGCTAAGCTATATCCCCGGCCCTCAGTGAATCTTTTTAGCCATGCACAATTTTCTGTCATGCATAGATCATTTCACTGAGTTAGAGAGATCTTCTGTTGACACATTTCTTTTTTTGTACACGATCAATAAAATCATTTATTCATCTCACCATGTATCCTATCAGAAACATTTGTAAGTATAGGGAAACAGCTCCTCATACTTAAGCTCCTGCTGGCAGACAGTTTCCAAGATTCTGATTTTTGCTCAGAATTTAATCATTGACAACAAATAACCATCAGATGTTTTCCTTAAAATGACAGGCTCATTTAATTCTTTTTTTAAAAAAGTGTCTGCCAAGTACACAAGTCGTAACAATCAGTTTTTTCTTCCAAGTAGAAAAGGTCCACAACACAATTATGTGGCTCAGCTGTAGCCCAGCAATTGCACTAATATTTTTCTTTGTGATACTCATGGGGTTAGGGATGTAACAAATCTTACTCTGTGTGAACTCCTCATTTCACCAATAGAACATTAAAAACTCATGTACTTCAAGGTAAGATCTAGTAAAATTATTAATTATTGTTGCTTTATCAGAGACATTTTAAATGTGACTGCCATACTTACTGTCAGCATATAGGTAATGATGAAAAACACAACTGCTAATAAAGTTTAGTGTCATGGGAGTCAGGAATATAGCTCAGCAGCATAAGCACCTACCTAGCAAACACAAGGTCATGAGTTCAAACCTGGTGGCAAGAAAAAAGTTTACTGTCTTGCCTTGATTCTTGCTAAGATTCTTTTGCACTATCTATACAGATATCAACACACTAAAAAAGACAAATAACATCTTACAAAAGTAGTTTTCACTTTGCAGACCTCCCCATAGGACTTTAGAAACTCCTGGAACCCACTGCATTTTGACAACTTGTACATTAGAACATCCAAAGCAATTTACTTAGTAATAGGAGTAAGATTTCCTTTTGTTGATTTATTTACTCATTTTTGAATTTTAGACAGTGATTCTGCCCCTTCAGACCTGGATGCTGAACTCACTGTCAGGACCAATGGAAAAGGGAGCCCGGGTGAGCAGCCACCCAGCCCTGTCCAGTTCATCAACAGTGCAGGAGCAGGGGACTCCAGCCGCTCTACTCTGCAGAGGTACTGTCATCTGATTCAGACTGTCACTGCATTTTACCTTCAAATTAATTGAGAGATCAATTTCAGTGATCTAATTACCTTAACAACAGAACTGGCAGTAGTAACATCCTACATTTTAATCCCAGCCTTTCTGCTTTCTCTTTATATAGATGCACCTCCTGAATCATTTTCTCAGCCTTCTTAGTAAATCAACATAAGAATATTTTAAGCTGGGTATGGTGATGCACACATGTAAACCCAGCTCTTGGGAGGCTGAGGCAGGGGATCCCATCCAGTCCAGCCTGGGCTACATAGCAAGTTCAAGGCCAGCCTGAACTACATAGTGAAACACTGTCTCAAAAAAATATTTTAATAGGCAAATAGTAATTTTTACTCTTCAGTTCCACTCTTCTCAGCCCTCCTGTATGTACGTTTATTATGACGGCAGCTTTACAAGCACTAATTTTGGGGTCAGTTAATAATTCCTCCCAGTCCCCTCTTGTCTCCTGGAGCTCATACTAGCCCTGTCCAGAGTCAAAAACTTAGTTACGGTGCCACACAGAGTGCTGTGACACAGAATAGGTACAAAGGAGAGAGAAAACAGTGATTGATGATGTTCTTGTTATTCCATGTAGCATTTTCTTACAAATATTAACTAATCATAAAACTAGTGCTGATTTTCAGCATACACCCATCCATTTCACTTGTAAAAATAGTTCCACCAGAGAAAACTTGGTTTTACTGAAGAAAGAATAGCTATTTTCAGTACCACCATATTATTTTTATGCTACTTTTCTGAAAGGACTCTAAAAATGCATTCAATAAGAGATGGGTAATAGGACTTCCACTGAGGATGCAATCTCATATTAAATAGACTTTCGTTTCCTTTGGTTTGTCAAAATATTCACTCTGTAGCATGGAGTTATAGTGTTCATTGGATTTTAATGCAGAATTTGTTGTGCTGTGATGGGAGATAAGCTAGGTACATATTAATCTATGATTTGGCATGTGTCTTAATATTTTTAGGAAAATAACCATCTTCTTATTCCATTTCAGATATATCACTACCTGCTATTTTGTTTATAACACCTAGTCTTCTCAGTCCTCTGATTCATGTGTTTACTACATTTTTTCAGTAATACTAAGATGGCGACTAATATTAATAAAGACCATAGGAATAGAACCGTTAGTAGTGTCTCATTATGTGAGTGCCATTAAATATAAAAGCCTCTTCAGCCTCAACAGTAGAATATGTAAAATGGAAGTGAGTACAGATAACTATCAAAAGTATTAAGGTTCAGCTTCCATATAGAATAGGTCACAGTGTAAGTACAATCACACTTAGTGATGAGACTTCGGTGAAATGTGTGTCATTAAATGATTTGATTGTAGTAGGAAAATTATAGGGTGCACCTACACAAACTAAGATGGCTACAGTATTACTAGGCAGTATAATCTTACGGAATCAATGTTATTATGCAATGCATGACCTTAGGAATTAATATAAAATATTATCATTGCTTTATATTGCACGTTAGTATATATATGTGTGTATATATACACACATATATGCACTTTAAACTTTTCTTCTCCTGTCAACCTTATTCTTTCCTTCTTTGCTGTGTTGTCTTATGCTCCTCAAAATCCTATGGGACTTGTGATTCCCCTTTTTCCCTTTCTAAATGCTGGCCTTGCTGCCAGAGACAATGAGTGCCCTATACTTTCTATCCCTGGGCTGTGTAATGACCTGTATTACTTGATATGCATTGCCTAAGTGTGGAGGCAAGGGTCTCTTCTTGGATGATGAAATAAGATCCCAAGAGGCAGAGGCAGAACTGAGACACTGTACCCATTTAGCTTTCCTTTTGAAGTACCTTTTCTGGAGAGCCACATCTGACCTTTAAGCCACCAACCCCTGGCTACTTTCTACTGACCTACTTTTTCACTTCCAGCGTCATCAGTGGTGTTGGGGAACTGGATCTAGACAAAGGGCTTGTGAAGAAAGTAGAACCCAACACCAAAGACAAACCTTATCCTGACTGCCCCTTCCTGTTGCTAGATGTGCGCGATAGAGACTCTTACCAGCAGGGCCACATTGTCGGAGGTAAGAGAGAGAAAGCTTCACTCTAGGAACAGATCCTGTGTGAGGGTCACACAGGCTGACCCCCAGCCCAAGATCAACTATGTGGGCTGGATCCATTATGAAAACCTCTTACAGTGGCTCCACCATGTTCTCTGAGAGGGTTTGCTGTGTCCTCAGATGACTCAGGAGCTTAGCACTTAACTGTGAGCAGATGAAGCTTCATCCTTTGTTCATTGTATTCCTTTTTTTTTTTTTTTTTTTTTTGTCTTTTTCATTTTTATCGGTACCGGGGATCGAACTCATGACCTCCTGCTTGCAAGGCAGGTGCTTATGCCACTGAGCTAAATCCCCAGCCCCGTATCCCATTTCTTTTCATTCACTGAAGTATTTAGGTTTTGTACAGCTCATTGATTTTGAAAATATATTTGCCTCTTAGATTTTAAACCAGATTGGGACCAAGTTGTACTACAAAAGCTACAGATGTCCTAAATTTTTTCTTCTCTTTGCAGCTTACAGTTACCCAATTGCAACTCTATCTAGAACAATGAACCCCTATTCCAATGATATTCTTGAATATGTATCCTTTATCATATGTTAAGGAATTACGTGATATGAGAATTATAAGACTTATCGTAAGTCATGCTCTGGTAGAATTGTGAAGGACCTTGGATACTACCTCTGTTAGCATATTTGAGACTTTGCTACTGAAAATCCTAACTTTAAAGCAAATGCTTCCAAACTATACTGCAATGGGACAAAAAAAAATTAGGTTAAAGATTATGATCTGTTGAGAATTAATCCTAAGACTTTAGCCCCCTTGAAAGTTTACCCAAGTAGAACTTAAGTAAATTATTTCCTACTTTCCTTCTTTTAAACTTTAATGTTTGTATTTATAAAATCCTATATGTAGAAAATAATTTAAATACTAGAAAAATATAAAAAAGAAAAATAGAAGTCTCACATAATCACACAATTGAGCACAAACTCCTATTATTGATATATTTTATTCCAGAATGCCTTCTGTGTGGATGTTTTTTATAAGTTGAAGTCATACTATATATGTAGTGTCACTTTTTCCACTTCACTTTACAGTACATTTCCCCATGTTCATAATACAAGTTCTTTGTGGAGCTCCATTTTTGATACTGTGCAGTAATACCTTAATCTTCAGAGTTACTGTATTTTATTAAGTCATTCCTTTGTTTTGGATTTTTAGGTGGTTCTGTCTTTTTACTGTTGTAAGGAAGTACACAGGACATGGAAGTTAGAATCTCTATTTTGTCAATTGTAAAATAGAGATTGCATGTTTCTTTTCCAGGACTGTAAGCATGAAAGAACTAACGGGTATAAAGTGTGTAACTAGTGCTGCACTGAACTAGGGTGATACTAGTTCATAAATGGCAAGAACACTAGCTTGTGTGATTTCTGTTACAGGGAAAGTCCCGTACCTGCTGGTGTAACTGGTAAGAATGGATCCTTTCATTCCTCCTAAATTCAGAAAGGTGAATTTTATGAATTTATATTATGACAGCTTTTTGTTCCTTAGGGGTTTCTTGTTGTCCAGGAGAATAAGCGTAGCCTCTAGAACCTTAACTCATCTCTTAGAAAAACGCCCATGGCAAGATCATCATTCTGTATGACGATGATGAGAGGCTGGCCAGCCAGGCAGCCACCACCATGTGTGAGCGGGGGTTTGAAAACCTCTTCATGCTTTCTGGAGGTGAGTAAAGTCACTCTCAGCACAGGACAAAAGACAGCTCTTTGAACACACAAGCCTTCAACCCACCCCACCTTCGTTTCCTCTCAATGCTTAGAATTTAGTGCTCTGGAAAGAGCCATGCTGGCTGAAAGGAGCCAGGAGTTATGGGAAACATCCATTAGCTCTATCATTACATGTTCTTAATTCCTAAAATAACAGTGTTGCTTCCGAGCTCTACAAAAAAGTCAAAGGCTTGCGCAAAGGCTTTCTCATGGCACTCTCGGAATCCCATGTAACAACTCACTTTTTCTGATACGATTTTCTTAATGTGAAGCAGTTTAAGATTTCACATCCTTGTGCTGGCCTCGAATTGGTGACCAGAGATCAAAAGACAGGCTTTTTCTCCAGGTTTTGCTGTGACCCTCATTAGACTAATCCTGTTTTTTTTATCATGATCTTCTCTATCTAGGTCTAAAAGTCTTAGCTCAGAAATTCCCGGAAGGACTGATTACCGGTTCCCTGCCAGCGTCTTGTCAGCAGGCCCTTCCTCCTGGTTCTGCCCGGAAACGATCCAGCCCCAAACTTCCACCCACACCAGCTGAGAACAAATGGAGATTCACCTCAGAAGACTTAAAAAAGATAGAATATTATCTGGAAGAAGACCAGGGGCCTGCAGATAATCCTAGTAAGATATTTTGACCTTTGTTTTCTGTGGAGCTTGAGATTTGCAGCTTTGAGCATCACCTCATCATAAAAATAAGCTTCAAAAAAACACCTTGTCTTCTATATTCATAGTCTTAAAATATCTGAGGCTGTATGTGTGACACAGTGGATGGGGGACTGCTGATTCCTGGTAGTAGCAACAATTAGGCATTGATCCCAGACCTAAAGAAGAGAGTGTATCAGTCAAAGTTTGTCTCAGGTGAAGTTGAGGAGCAAAATATGTAACATTCTGATTCCTTCTTAAGAAATTTCCTTTTCCATCTACTATTTTGCTGCATATAAACTGCTTCTGAGCAGTCCTGGTTTCTCTCTTTCTGCCTTAACTTTGACCCCTTGCTTTCTCTTCTGTCTCTTTGAATTGCCATTCAGCCTTGTACTCTTCAAGGAAGGAATGAAAGACATATTAGATTTGTTGGGAATAATGAAGATAAAGAAATAAAGTGATCTGGAATTCCTTTTCTCTCTGCTTCCTTCCCTAATTTCAAGTTGGTCTCAAGGAGGAGGAACAGATTATCTTTGGCCCAAAATAGATGCTGCACACAGCTTCCTTAGCTTAAAAGTAGTTGTAGGCTAGAACTTCGTTAATTTAGAAGTTTACATGGCCTGGAATCATTCTTGTACCTCTGCTCCTCTTTCTTGTCCCTTCAGGCCGACTGAACCAAACTAACTCTTCAGGAAGAGACTCCAAAGTACCTGGTACCCGAAGCAGTCTGTACCTGCCTACTGGGGGCCCTGCCAGCCACTCCAACCCTCGCTCCCAGGGAAGTGGTCACCTGCAAGGCAAACCCTGGAAGTAAAAACTTTGCCTCATTTAGTCAAATAAATGTTTCCCCTATTTTTGGAACCCCTGAGCAGTCCCCAAGTTGGTCATTTTTGCAAGGTCCTATAGAGGAAAGACCATGGCTATGGGATAGGCCATCTTCCTTCTCCATGTCCAGCTCCCCTCCCTTTTGCCAGCCCATCAAGGATTTTGACAAATGACCCTGAAATCCAGAGGCGTGACAGGCTCTAGTGTTCTCCCTATTGTTTACAGAATATTTAAGTTTTTTGAAACTGAATAGGAAAAAAAGTACTCCCCCCCCCACACACTTCACATGCAATTCAGTTTGTTTGCTGTTTATCCAGCGCTGTTTTATAAATACTTCAGTCACATCTGATGGTATTTTCTTGCCCATCAGTTTTTTTCATTCACGTGGATTTCATGAGAGATTCTGCAGGTGGGCTTGGTGTGGGCAGCTGTCTACAGGGATGCAGATGCATCTTGGTCCCAGCAGCCTGAGGGCCACACATCAGGAACAAGCAGCCACCTGGGGTGTGTTCTGCCCAGCATGCTGCAGGCTCTATGGGGAGATTGGAAGAGGTGCCTGTGAGCAAGGCTCATTTTTACAATTTAGTGGTAAAGCTCTACAGTTACTGAATGCTCCCCTTCATTAAATAGTTCCTGTGGCCAGAAGTGTCCTCAGCTACCTTCTCGTCATTATCATCATCATCATCATAGGGAGGAGCACCCGGCCTGTGTTGAGAGCCCCTAGAAGCCCCCACAGCTGTCCCTCACTTGTGGTCGGGATAGTAGTTGGAAATTTCCATTGCGGACTCAGGTCCATCTGCATTAAATGGGTAGAAATCAGTAGCTACTTGAAAACATTAGCTTCATTCAGGCAAATAAGGAACACACAAGGTGAGGACTCAAGAGTCCTCTGTCAGGGCTGACAGCCCCTTAAGCCCTTGCTTAAAAATACAGTATTAGTCTAATTGAGTAATTAGTGCAATTTCCTGCTTACTTTTCATTCTCATGACTGAGCTGTGATTAGGAGGTTGTGATTATAGATTCTGGTTTTGGCCAGGATTTTGAATCAGCATTAATTGAGTTGCTGGATGACTGACATTCGTTCTGTTTAATTGGGGGAACAAAAGACCTCAGGTAAGGATGAGGAACTTTAAAATCATGTGAAAAGGAAAAGGCCTTGTTAATTTTTATGGTCTGTGATCGTGGCTGTGATAAGGGACTAAGGAATAAATTGTGCTCTTTGTCATGGCAACCAGCTTCTGAAAAGCCAACTGAAAATTGCCTGTCCTTAGGTGGTTACTGCTGCTGGGTAAGATTTGCCTTAACAGTACTATTTCTCACCACCAAAAGAAAAAAAAGGCACCACAGTATTTCTAGCATGGGGCTGTGTTTGTACAAGAAATAAACATAATAAATGTCTCATAGAGACATATGGAAAAATAACTCAGATTCAGCCCGGTTCTGCTTTAGAGTGTGTTTATCCTTCTCTACTTGATTTCCAAAGTGCAACATTTTCCGATACTTTAGAATCAAACAAACCGAAGACATTGTTCAGATGTCAAACTGTGCCCAGTTTTCCACAAGATTCAAGAATCTTGAATAAAATTCAGCCAACATACACATAGCTTTAATAAGGAACCTTTCATGTTTCCCATAAATTTATTGCCTGAGAACTTAGTTCAGCCTTTTTGCTAAAGCCAGAATGCTCTGGCTTTTTATTTTCTTTAGGCCATAGATAGAAGAATGCAGAAATTTCCACACTTCCGTAGTGTGGACAAATTTTTATCCATCTTTGATGCATATACATCGTTAAGGAAAAATGTTTCTCTCTGTAGCAGTGTTCTGGTTATGCCATTTTGAAGTTGACTAGGTCAAGAGATTAGACTTCCCTGCCAGATTCTGTTTTGAAAGTGGAATCCCCCTTGTTCCCCTTTTGCATTCCCAACATCACAGATTAGTGTTTAAAACTCCGATATTTATGTGAAAAGTCAGTTTAGCCAAACCTATGAATTGCTGTGTATTTACTGGAGAGATCTAGTGAGTTGAATATTTTTATGTATATTCTCCATAGTGCTTTTCTCAGTTGGTAAGGATTTTAAAATTCAAAAAACAACCTGTTCTAATTCCACATATTATGTGTTAAATGTCACTATCAGACATTTTTTACAGACTCAAGGTATTTCTTTTAATATTCTATTTTACTAGTTTCTTCATTAGATAATTTGACATGTATTTAAATAATCGCTGATACTTTGTGCAATTATGAATGTTGAAGATTAAAGAACATAGTTCCTAATTTGTCGTTTGCTATTAATGTGCTGAAACCTGCCAACTTTTCTCTTCTTTTCTGTCAGGATGATTTGGGAGAGCCCCAGGAGACTGAGAGATAGGAAAGAGTACCTGTTTTTGCTGCTTCTCCCAGAAAGGCATATTCTTTGTGTAAATGAATTGAGAGATCCACATAGAATCTTAGCTCTCTCAGAAGGCTTGGGTTTCATTTCAGGTCAGACAGGTACCAATGGCATAGTAAGTAGATTGGATCATTGTTGTCTTGCCACTGTTTAAGGGGTTCACCAGCTACATTTGCCTGGGGAAGGGAGGTGTTTTATCAAAGAGTAATAATAGTCCAATATCCAACAGTGATGGCCAAAGCTTAGTAATATGTTAAATGCCTCAAAAGGGTACATATTTAAGAAAGAAAGTAGCAAAGGAAGGAAAGAAAAGAAACGAGAAAGGGAAGAAATACAGGAAGGGAGGAGAACGCTACAGTTCTCCTTTCAAAACAGAACATAATAATAATGTCAGATTTCATTGTTGAAAATGATAGGATGACTCAAATAGCCTAAAATTAATTTTCATTTTTTTTTTATGTGTAGGAGAAATCTAGAACCAGTATGATTGTATTGAACTTGCATTGATGCAAATCAGAATTAAAAGAGAACAAATAATGTTCAATAGTAGTTTGAGGCTTTTTCCCCTGTGGTGCTGTTTCCATTATATAAAAATTCTTGAGACATTAAGCTACTCACCAAGAAAATAGAACAAAACAAAACCTTCTCTTCTCTAATTCCCTCGTGGAACATAAATGAAGTCAGAGTCGTGGGATGGAAGAAATATGCAGGTGATTTTTGTTGTGTTGGTTTTGGTTTTTATCCTTTTTTTTTTTTTTTTTTTTTTGTTAGAGTCTGTCTTTTATGCTACTTGACTTTTTTAGGGGCAATAACTAATTACTGTCCACCTGGACTTAAATTCATGACTGCATTCTTGCTATACTTTGAAGATAATCATTCAGACCCTTTTGTTGATTCCAGAATGTTCTCATTATTTTTAATGTGTTTGTTTTCAAAATTGTCTCCAAGTTGTAAGTCCCATAGTACTTTTGTTTCAAAAACCATCAGAAACATATAGATTAGAGTGATAATTTATCACTTTAGTTATGTTGGGCTTGTTAAGTACTTCTGTGCAGTTCAATTAATTTTTAATTAACAAACATTTTTCATATACAAGCAATAAATAAGACATCCGGTACTCCCAAACTGTTCAGAATACATTTGGATGTTAATACTTCCCTAGACTTGTAGTAATTATTACAATTATTACCATGGGTAATAAGTTAGTACCCAGTTGTTACAAAAATTAAAAGGTAATGGTAAAACTCTATGTCTTGAATTCTGAAAGGGCAAGGTTCAGTGCATGACGTATTATGTGTGTTTACAAAATGTATTTGTCATGCTGTGACCCCCTCTCCTTGTCTCTCACTCTCTGGTGCTGCTTTCCTTTGTTCTAAATACAAAAGAAAATTCTCTCCACCTGCATAACCTCCTGAGGCTCCTGGTAAAATGTGTAGAACGCATAGGTTACTTATTAAATGCTGTTGACTAATGGACTGTGTTGCTTATTTGGTTATTTGGTTTTTGGCTTTTTGAGACAGAGTTTTGCTATGTAATTCAGGCTGGTCTTGAACTCACTATGTAGCCTAGGCTGGCTTGGAATTCATGGCAAGTGCTGGGATTACAGGCATATATTACCTTGCCTGGCCTGCATGGTTTAAAGCAGTCTTTCCTTTGAAACTGTTTAGACTATAAGCTTCCAGAGGATGCACATCCCCAGCTCTGTGCCAGTGCCCTTAAATATGTGTTTATGAATAAAAGAACTGAACTGTTAAGACCAATGTGTGAATAAGAGCCCATTGTTCTGGCCACTCAGTGCCAGCCTGCAACTCTGGAGACCCAGAAAGCTTGTTATCTGGGACCCCTTAAAGGTTAGGTATTCACAGCCCAGAGATTTTTAGGGGAAGGTGGTCAGGATGTTACTACCACAGTTGGCTGCCACTTGCCAGACTTGCCTTCTCTATCCCCTCAATAGCTTTCAAGACTCATCAAGTACAGGTAGTCCACAGGCCCCATCTGAGAAGGGCTTATTCTTCTCTTTTGTTTTATATTTTGAAAATATAATAGTGGCAAGCATTTAGGAAGAGTTTACCATGTGGCAGGCAGTGCTTCTAGATGTTTCCATTGTATGTTTTGACTCATGTAATTCTCACAGCTAGCCAATGAGGTAGGGATCTCCTTTTTTTTTTTTTTTTTTTTTTTTTTGGTCTTTTTCCTTTTTATCGGTACCGAGGATCGAACTCATGACTGCCTGCTTGCAAGGCAGGCACTTATGTCGCTGAGCTAAATCCCCGGCCCCAGGATCTCCTTTTTCAGATGAGGAGACTGATGTCTGGGAGGAGATGAAGCAGTCACCCTCAGACACCAAGTAGCCCAGGTGAGAAGCCTGGATCCCGCCCGCCAGTGACTGCTGCAGAGCGTGTTCTCATAAGCACTCACTCCTTCCCCCTCGACATAGACACAGCCGTGTTCAGTCTCCCTTGGTGAGGCTTCTAATTAACAGTGAAAATGTAAATTTCCCTTGCTTTTGGCTTCCATTCCTCCCTAGTCACTGAGATTCCACTGAAAACCTGCCGGCCTGCACAAAAGGAAATAGAAATTCAGGATGAAATACCTGTTCCCAGGAATATACATTTTCACAACCTGTGTCAAGTGTCCTTTCTTGAAGACAGTTGTTCCAGAGCTACTGAGGCTAGTTTTGTTTGCCAATAGACATTTCATGAGCTTCCACATAAAAGAATGAGAGTTACAGACTTTTAACTAGATCTAGGAGGGGAAAGGTAGGTGATTTTCCCAATAAATTGAATGCTCTTCATTCACTAGACCATTTTGGTACATGATTTTTGTCTGATCTTTTCTTTACCTTAAGATGGTATTTCTTTCTTTTTTTTTTTTTTTTTTTTTTTTGGTACTGGGAATCGAACTCACAACTGCAGGCTTGCGAGGCAAGCGCTTATGCCGCTGAGCTAAATCCCCAGCCCGAGATGATATTTCTGATTCAGGCTGAAACATAAATTGTGAGACTTGGCTGATGGCCTAAAGCCTGGGTTTTGTGGGGAAAAAAGGCAAACTTCTTTGCCATTTATTCCATCAGCCTTTTCTGAAACTGGATCTTACACCACATTTGTGGTTAGGCAAGAGTTTTAACCCTAGCCCCTTAATTTGGCAATAAAAGCTTGGCACTGTCCATCTCTGGAGTTGTTAAACTGCTCACAGTTTGAGTTGCCAAATTGATGTTGATCCTGAAAGCTTTGAAAAAGGATTCCAGTACCTTTTGAGGGTTTTTCAAATTTGACAGGTATTTTGTTTTTCTTATTTCTTCTTTGGCCTGTCCACTGTGAATGTTATAATTGGCCATACCAGTTTCCCCTAAGTAGTGTCTGGGTTTTAGTTATATTCACAGAATGATGTTCCCTAAACCACCAAGCCAGAGTCATATCATCTGGTCCCCCTGCCCTTGCAAGAGGATCACCAGAATGATGATACACAGCTCTGCAGTGGATGAGGGATGAGTGACGTCATATCTGAATTGTACTCAAGACATTTGTTTTAACCTCAGGCCAAAGCCAGACAGCTAGACATACATATCTGAGTATTAATTTCAGAGACCACCTAGGGACTCTCCTATACCACCAGTGGCCCCCAGGCTACATCGAACACCACCTGTGAGTGGTCTTAAAAAAAAAATTAAATGTGCTCATTTAAAAATCAAGATCTTTCAGACTGATCTTTTGCAGATAGGGAGTAGAGATAAAGGGAGGGGAGAAGGAGAGGGGAACAAAAAAATTAAGATGTGTCAAGCCCATGCACCTATCCCCTAAGATGAATGTAAACATTATGTACCACAAACATGAATTAATAAAAAAAAAGGAAATAAAAAACAAGATCCTTAAGGGGCCCTGGAGAATAGGTGTTGGCATAGTCAGTTCCCAGGATTGCGATGGGATGTGAGTGTGCACAGAAAGTGAGTAGAAAGCACTCTTGGGAACTTCCACTGCCAGACCTTAGGGAACACCAGCACCACCCCATCACCCCACCCCACCCCCAGGGACTGAGGAATCCCTGCTGGTGATAACCCAGCCGTTTCCAGCTATCTGGAGCATAAATTTTTTTTGAAGATAAAACGAACTTCAGTGTTCTGGGAAAGACAGTGACATAAAATGCCAGAACAGAAGAACTAAGTTTAGATAAATTATTTAGAAAACAAGCTCTGTGAAGATATCATTTAGATAGTTGATGTTGATATAAAGCTTGTGTTAGAAACTTTATAAGCACATTCATTATCTGGCATATTTCATGCAGCCCCCACCCTGCAAAAAAAGAAAAGCTGATAGAAAAGTTCACTGCAAGAAATTATGAAAAATATAGAGAGGAAATTACCCCCACTCTCTAAAGTAGCCATAGTTATTATTGGGGGATATGTCCTTTCAGGTGTGTGTGTGTGTGTGTGTGTGTGTGTGTGTGCGCGTGTGTGTGTGTTTAAAAACATGAGATTCTTACTATTTTGTAGCCAACTTCTTTTTTAAAAAATTGAATGAATCTCAATGCCAAATTTATCCATTTTAAGTGTATGACAAATTAATTTTTAGTAATTTACAGAATTGTGCAAGCATTGCTACAATCTGGTTTTAGCACATTGCCATCTTGTAGCTAGCTTCTTTCACTTTGTATGCTGTGAACATTCTTCTACATCAACAAACTTTCATGGCTTCATGATATCCCATTATGTGGATGTTTCCCATTGGTACCATACTGGGCCAAAGAAGCAATATATTTTAAAATTTTGATTTATGTTGCCAAATCTGCCTTCCAGAAAGATGGCACGATTTCCCTCCCAGCAGCAGTATGTGACTCTCCTTATTTCTTCATACCCTTGGTAATATTGAGTCATTAATTTATTATTCTTTGCTAATCTTATGAGAAAAAAATATTTGTTTTTCTTAAAATATATAAAAAAATCCACTAAGGATTTTTCATACATTTATCAGCTTCTTCTATTTCTTTGGGGGAATGCCTGTTTTTAAATGTTAATCTTTTTTCTTTAAACCTCTTATCTTTTAAAAACCTTCATATTTACAAGTACTTTCATATAAATTATAATATTTTCTATATTTGTCTTTTAGCTATATGTATAAATTTTTTAAAATTTTAACCATAGATTGGATAAAATGTATACTTGCTATAGGTATTGGAAAATTTCGTATCTGCACACAGAATTAAAGCTCTTCTCACAGTTGGACATTTTAAATTAAGTATTAGCTTTTGTGTCTCCAGTTAATTCACATATATTATTGTTGTTATTACTAAGTATTATGCACTTGGTTAAGCAGTGGGGATTAAGTGACCAACAGAACAATGCAATCCCATGGAAATATGGAATTTGCATTGCCCCATTCCCTAACTTTTCAACTTTCTGAAGACTTACTCAGAGCCTTGCTTTCTAAACTAGAACTCTTAGATTTCAAAATAACTGGCACATGAATATTTTCAGCAAGCCTATGACATACAAACTATAAAATCTATGGGTTCATTAATAAAAGTAAAGAACATTCACTAAAAAAATAGTTATTGGGCATATATATGCCAAGGCTGTTGATGGTATTGGAGACTCTGCCAAGCATTGTGGTCCCTACTATTAGCAGTTTATTTTAAATTAAGTAATTCTACCATCTAGAAAAATCAATTTTGTCAAATACGTTATCATGCTAACAATTTCTTATTAGTCTTTATTAAACAAATGGTGATCAACTTCCTACTATGCCCAAACTATGCAGTTAAAACAGGCCTCGCTTATCTGTAATCTCTTTTTGCATAGATTGAGGGAAAATACTTTCCAAAAGATAACGAGAAAGAATGTTATCAACTCCTAAGGCCAGCTGCTAATCCTATCTCATAAATGTTGGTATGCAGAAGTTTGTATATACTCTATAATCAGCCTCATTCTTTTTAGTTTTTCAAAAGTCTTTTTATTTTTTTCAAGTAGTCATGGTGGGGCATGCCTATAATCTTATCTCTTAGGAGGCCAGGCAGGAGGATTGCACGTTTAAGACTAACATGAGCTAGAGTTCAATTTCAGTCTAAACTACATGGTTTCAATATAACAACAAAAAATAATGTTTTGAAGCAAAACCATACTAAAATAAAACTCCAAGATAAAAACTCCCTCATATCCTTTAAAAAACGATGGGTCATTTTGACCTTCAGTCCATTTTATGTGGAAAAGATGTGACAGTCAGTAGAGCAACAGACATCTGAAAAACTGAACCTCTCAATGCAGGGGAAGCCCCATCCTCACCCTGACCCTCAGAGGAAGGGTCAGTTCACCCCCTTCAACCTCCCCAGAAACTTCTGTGCCAGTAACCCCTTGCTCCATCCACATTCACATCCTAAGAAAAACAGAAAAAAACAAAAGTTAGATGCTTGCTTTTAAAAAGCTGGGACACCTCTTGTCCCATGTATTGTGATGCTAGCCACACTGCTCAGAACTGCCAA